ACATCTAATGAGAACAGACAAGACATGTGGGTTGTTAAATTGCTAATCGTGTTCCTGTGAAAAGGGATTCTTAGGGAAAACTGATACGGAGCAGACAGATGAGCAGGTTACTTGCTGTCTGAAATCAGTGCAGAGCACATGGTGGGGATAACAGGAATTATTAGAATGAGTCGGGGAATATACTGAGGTTTAGCAGAAATCCCCCTCTTATCCCTACAGTTAAAGACAAGCTCAAGGTTTTCGTTTGCAGTGTTTGTAAAAGTCACATATGTCAAATGTTTAACTAAAGCCACTTCCCTGCATATTTCTCATAATCCWAGCATGCTCCTGGTTCGTGTTTCCTTTTGGCACCATACATGTTGCAAACTGTAGAAGGGTAGATCACAGTATCAGACAAAGGCTTTTTTTTTTTTTYYCCCCCCCCTGTAGCTTTCCAACATATTTTCATGGGCACAGAATGCYGGTTCGGACAAAATCTAGCTTGGAGATTAAGCAAACAACCTTCCGGATAACTTAAATGTGACAAAAAAATCCATAACTGCTGGAGGCGAGGCAGAGACTCAGTGTGTGATCAGTCTTTGTGAAGCAGCCTTAAATGTCTTCCTGTGCAGATCCAGTGAGGTCCATTTTAGTTGCCAGGCTAGTTTGCTTTTCTGCTGGCGCAGGCTGAGCATTTTTTGGCTTGGAGACTTAAGGAGAAAAAAAAAAAACATATAATGCTGTTTCATGGTTCMATTTTGTAGAATAGGCCTGAAAATTACAATTTCACTGGAACATGAGTGCCCTAAATGGTTGATCAATACAGTGTTTACAGAAACAGCCAGGAAGTAGCACAGTGTGTGTTGAAGGCAGGAGATACTGGGGAGTTTCATGCAGTCCTGCTTCTCACTGTTGCATGCTCTTCCTTTGCAGAGGCCACTCACAAATGAAATGTGCAGCAGGAACAGAGCATCCTTCAGAGCAAGCAGGGAGGCCTGGGGAGCACAGTCTTTTATAGGGCATCCCAGATCCTCTCTCGTGTTGCAGCAGGATGTGGAGAAGCCTCAGGCAGATCAGTCTGTCGTTCCTCCATCTCCTGTGYAGGCAGAATTGCAACCCTAGGCAGCTATTCCTTTCTTTTCCACCTTAAGCTAACACCACGCACAGCCCCTCCAAAGCATATTTTACTTGGCAAGTCGTTGTGACGAGGAATGCAGCCCCTTGTTCCCCTTTCTTCTCCTAATAGCGTGCCTAGGCCGGCTGCAAATCTAATCACATACTATTTTGTCATGGGGGAGAGATGCAGATACCAACACAGAAAAATTTAGCACATGGTAGTGTACTGTAGTTTCTTTGTACTCACTTCCTTGTGAAGGTTGTAGCTTCTATTCAGTAAGAAAATTTAACTAAGCTTAATAAATAATCAAGATCATCCATGATGCCCAGTTTAAAACTTGGAATTATGGCAAAGCAGAGCAGATAAAATAAATATAGCTACCACAGCACATGCTAAGCGTGAAGGTCAGGGCGACCTCCGTTTTAATTTCCATATTTATTTTGGTGTTGCCACGGCACAAGGAGAATCTTAGATTGTAAGCAAAGACATAGCCCAAATCCTCAGTTTTCACCTCTAAAGGGATAAGCATAAGTTAATTTGAGTTTTTGATTATCCTCACCTTAYAGACTATAATTTGAAATGCTTCTTGGTATTCACAAGGTTCTGCCCACAACTTCCCATGAATAAAAGAAAGTATGAAGCCATGTAGATATCAAAGATGCTTGTAAACAAAAATCTTAAGACTATGTATGTTCAGTAACAGGAACTGATGAAGCAGGCGAAGAATGGAGTACAAATATCCATGACCGTTGTTCATTGTTTTGTGATGTATACATTGCCTCGCTCCAACAAACCAAAATAAGAGTAGATATTTGCCAAATGCTCTGAKTGTGGGATAGATTTACCATGTCACTATGCTGAATGTTGACCAACATAGTGATCTAAAAGTAATTACAGTGGCATAAAACCAACTTAATTGAGTGGTAAATTAGTCTTTACTTCCTCATTTAGGAAGGTTGGGGATTGAATTAATCAACACTTTATTTATGATTTGCTTCAAAATATTTTGTTTAGTTTTACAAATGGAAAGAATGAGAATTGTAGACAACAGTCAGCACCATAGCTGTKCATAGTCAGGTTCATGCAGGAGAGAGCAGGATAGTGCCTAGCAGATTCCTGTCATATCCTGCAACAGATAAAACCTTAATCGGATCCTTCATTAGCATCAAGTGTGAAAAGAAAAGCTCATGCCAGAGATTACTTACTAAATGTAGTTGGTGAGAAAAATTAAGTGTTGAAGAAAATATGAAATCCCTCAAATTAATCTTTGAAATATATGGAGTTTGAGTCTCCTCTCTCTTACACTGGGATAAATCAAGAATAATTCCACTTCTGTGACTGAGTTATGCTAGTGTAAAATTAAGCTTGCCTCCTCTCCCAGGAGTTTAGAAGATTTACATTTTTAAGGCAGAATAATTTATCCTTAAAATTTGCACTCATATGTTAAGAAAAGGAATTATGACTGCATGATACACAGTAAAGCTCTTTGATACCTGATCTCTACCTTTTTAAATCCAGACTAGAGTTTTATGCTACCCTGTATGTTCAATAGCAGTTGCTTTAAGTTTAACATTGGTTTTATTACTTACAGTCTTAAAAAAGACAGACTGCATAAAACATGTTAAATGTTCAGTGAAATCTCTGAAACATACTTGGTTTTATGTTGTCACTTTTTCAGTGTTAAATTCTTCATGCTTGGAGATTAGAATATTAAATTAGACATGGTTGTAGGCGGGAAGAGCACAAGAATTCATACTAAATTTGAAGGGCTCTTTTCTGATTTTTTGCAGGCCTCCTTAACTGTCTGTGCCTGTTGTTTAGCTTCAGACCATGTCTTAACATATATTTGTGTTGTCATGCAGATTCCTTCACTGAAATGTTTTTATCTTGAAAAGATTTTAACTTGTTAATCTTTTTAATCTTTTCATCTGAAGTGGTGTTTCCATAACATAGGGAAGTTAGGCTGGGGTTTTGCTTTGCTTTTTTTAATGAAATACTCTTTTTTTAGATAGTATCTTATTTTATAGCAGCTGTAGAACACAAAGGGTTGAACTCTCTCTTAACTGGAGAGTGTCTTTGTCACACAACAGAACCAAGGTTCCCTGCAAGGATTCCCTCTTGCACTCTTCTCCGTGTCCTTTTGGATGCACGTGATCACTTCCTGCTGGATACAGATTAGTTTTAATAGGGATGTGCAGAAACGTCCACAAAGTGCCAGAAGGAGGCACTTCAGAAACAGGGAAATATCAGGGATATTTTAACTTTTCTGGAGGTGACCATCTGAACAATGAGGGARTGTTTCAGAGACACTGAACATCAGCCAGAGGAGGAATAAAAGTGATTTTTCAAAAATCACAAACAAGAATGAAAAATTCTCATTTTTCTATCTCTTTTTCCACAAAATGCTTTGACTTATATCCTTTATTACATAGCAGTTTTCACTGACGTTTTAAAATGTGCTTTAAATATGGACATATGAAGTGACTTTACAGCACCCTTAATCRTCTCTTAATTGCTTGCTTCTTTGTTTGCTGTATTCAAAATAAAACTGCAAACTTTCCTGAAAATAAAATTATTATTTCTGGAAGTCACTGAAAAGGCCAGACTTTCTGGAGAAGGAAAACTGTCAAATGTTCACAGATTCATTTTCTAAGGTGTAATCCATAAAAATGGACAAAAGTCAAACCTCTTTTGACAGATAGGAGAAAAAGAGGACAGGCTGTGAGGAGGATGGTTGTGGTTCACAGAACCACAGAAGGCAGAAAACTCTTTTTCATTAATAAGACAAGACATCAGTAAGACTAACGTCAAAGTGTTTTAACGCCTAGCTTGCTGAACAAGAAGAGTTGGTCSAAAGAAAAGACTGATATTGCCGGAGTCTCTAGGCTCCAGGAATAGTCACTCTAGCACTTTCATAGGAGAAATCTGYATCTAGAAATAGAGCATATCTTCCTCAAGGAAGAACACACTGGAGGGCATTTATGGTCAAACCCAGTCATCTTAGACATACAGAATGAAGCTGTTCATTGACCTGTACATTTTTTTTATACCATAAAAAACTACATCAGATGGTGCAACTGTAGTGAGAGCAGGAGATGAGCGCTTGACTAGTGGTTTGCAAGAGGAGCTTTGGGCATTGGGAAAATTTGCAGACAACTAAATTAATGAAATAACAGGTTCCTTATCCATCCTAACTGAAGGTCTCAAGCTTTGACGTATCATTTCCATATACTCCTTCTGTAAAGGAGAGGCAAAGAGAAGAGGCAGAAGTTCCTAAGCACACCCTGGACTTGTCCTGGTTCTCCCCATTCTTTCAGTGTCAAATGCAAGGGGGGATTGCTAGTTTGTCTTACTAAGAATTTCTATGCATTAAGCTTTGGTGTAGTTTTGAATGGTTATGTTTTATCTGAACTGTTTTTGTACACAAGCTCTAAATCCAGAGTATTTTCATAAAATCACTGCAGGATGTATCAATGAAAATAGGATATATGGGCTTTGGGGGAGGAAGATAAATCATAGACTTAATCCCCCAAATCCCAGAAATTACCTCAGAGACCTCCACTAAGTTTATGGGCTTTAGTTCAGTTCTGTAAGAACTCTGCAGGTGCCCTGAGCAGAGAACAGGGCACTTTCAAATTGCACCAGCTATGTAAGATAAAGAAAAGACAATAAAGATTAAGAAAAGATAAAGACAGAAAAGAAGAAGAAAAAAAAAAGTTAAAAAGTGAAAACACATGAAAARTGGTGCTAGCTGTGAAATGTGGGTATCTCAAATTCTTAAATACTTGGTCACTAAAAAAGACATTCTGTTTTTAATGGAGATAGGAAATTGATACTGCAGTCTATTTTTAGAAGAATTTAGAACAATGCTACTGGTTCCTTCTTGTCTTCTTTTGCTCAACAGCTTGTCCACCAGGAACATACAAGCCYGAAGGTTCACCAGGTGGAATCAGCACTTGTCTCCCATGTCCCAATGAAAATCATACTTCTCCACCAGGAAGCACCTCCCTTGAGGACTGTACATGCCAGGAGGGTTTTCGTGCTGTAGGACAAACTTGTGAAGGTAAGTTTTCTGTTCCAGGAACATAAAACCCCTGAAATGCATTGTACAGTGCTTGGACAATTTTTTGGTTTGGCACTGTGAAAGAGAAGCGGCTTGCAAAATTCTCAACATCTTTCCAAAAAACCCGAGAGCACCAAGACGCAAGCTGAATTGGAAATGAAATTTGCTGTTCTTAAGTAGCCAATTGCTGTCCAACTAGCATCATAACTCTATTGTTGTTGTTTAATTATTTAGTTGTTCACTGCCCTGAACTGAAGCCCCCTGAAAATGGTTACTTTATCCAGAATGTCTGCAACAACTACTTTAATGCTGCCTGCGGAGTCCGATGTAAAGCGGGATTTGATCTTGTGGGAAGCAGCATCCGACTTTGTCAAGCAAGTGGTCAGTGGTCTGGTTCAGAGACCACATGCAGAGGTATGGCCATTGTAGAATTGTTTTCGGCTGGTTAGTTCTTCACAATGGATTACTTTGCTTGCTACTGAGTTRTGCTTTGCAGATTTGACCCCATTAGCCTTTAAGTGAAAAATTATTCCAAAAGTAAATTCCACCACAATCATTCTGTTTTCCATCTTAGTTTTTAGGAAAGAGGAAACATCAAGAATACAAAATGTGGAATAATATTTACTTGAGRATCAGTCTTTTGTAAGCGGGTCTTTACTTCCTTTCTTACCCATATCTCTACATAATACTATGAATTTTATATCTGCATTGTGTAAAACACTTGAAAATACAAAGTAGAGTCAAAGATAAAACAAGACCTTGAAGTGTGGGTGTTTTAGAATATCCGTCAGTCCCTCRGCAGATTTGTATTGGCATCCTCAGCAGCCACAATTTGTATTTCAACCTGTTTAACTTAAGTTGCATATGTCTGGCATCAGTATGATGCCCCAGACACTGCTGACTGACAAAGTTGGTGGCTTCTTACCTACTGCAAGTCTTACCCTGACCCAGATTTCAGGAAAACGTGCAGGATATGTCCCAAGAGACAACAGCACATGATGCTGCTACAGCAAATTCTGCAGCCCATAGGTAAAACAGGAAATGATGATGTGAGAGARGGGATCTGAGCTAGATATCTGTTTTTGAGGGCATTTTTGTATAGCAGCCTTAGCTTACGTTTCAATTCTCTGCCTGAAATAATCCCAGACAAAGCATTCTTCTTTATATCTTCCATTCATCCTGAAAGAGACAGTGAGGAGTTTATATAGATAAATTGCTGGACAGTTGCTTGAGGGAGGAAGAAACTAGATTTAGACAGGTTGATTTTTCAGAAGACAGATCATATCCCCAAAATGTTTGCTACTTCAGTTAGACCGGGCTACTGAGAGAGAGCATATGTCTGTSAAAGCTGCTCTTAAACAATAGCCTCCAGCCCAAAAAGTCTGGAGGAAGTTGCTGTCAAGCACAAAGAAAGGGTTCTTCACTTTCACTACATATAGAAAGAAATGTAAGATTTTAATACTTGGAAAACCTTTTGAAGAGTCTGAAAAGTCTTCAGCCTGCTGGGTGTTGGTGCTTGTGTAAGCACCATGATCTTCCTTAAATGGCGTATTTGTCTGGAAAGTGGAGGAAATTTAAATTCTGCCTTGATGCATTATCTTGGTGTTGGGCTAATTTCCTTTGAAGCACCGAAAGGATATCTTTTTGCTTTTCTCCTGTCACTCTCCGTCATGCTGAAGTCTTCCAATTAAAAAATAATAATTATTAAAAAAAATCCTACCTTTGCATGTGCTGAAGCTGCTATTCTCTATTCATCCCTATAGACTATGAAATGCAGCAAGATCAAAGGCACAGTTTATAGCTGTCTTGTTAATCCCAAAACTATTTTATCACATAAATTAGGAAGAGAGAGTGGAAGGATTCTAATCCCTCCATGCTACTTTGGATTTTGACATTAAACATTCCTCAATTGCTCTGATAGCTAAAATCTGCAATGCTATTGGAATGTGATTACTACAATCATGTCTTGCAATCAACTGTGACCCATGAAAATAGCCCTACAAAGTGTATATTTAATCCAGAAAAACATACTAGGAGAAAACACAAAAGCTGGCAGAACATACTGTTGTTGTTCTTTTATTTATTTATTTTTTAATGGACTTTATGGAAATGTTTCTTGGTCACGGAAAATACAAAATTGACAAGAAGATGCTTTGTGTCTGAGACCATGACCAGGATAATATGGTCTCAGTTCCAGATTTCTGCCAGAGATATATTGTGGGGAACTAGCATGAATTCATCAGCAGTTTCTCATCTTTAGAAAGGGTTTGTGAGGTGGTGGCATTGTCCTTTTTCCTGGGTTTTTGATGATGGCTTAAGCGTTTCTTCAAGCATTTGGTACAGCCAGCTGTGTTTCAGCTTCACAGAGTTTCAGGGTTCAGGCCACTTGGCTTTCTTTGAGAGAGCGTGGTAGAAAGAAAATTTTTTAAATCAGGTTTCAAGTTGCTGAAGTTTTGGRTTGGCATTTTGACAAGATCCATTTTATTCCAAAACACAGCATCCATGAGGGCTAAAAGAAATAGTGCATTGATTTTCACTACCAAACATTTTCAGAAATAATCAGGAGATAGATCTTGTGCACTCTGGAATCTCTGTTTGCCCAAGAAAACTCTTATAAGCAAGAATCTCTATTCAAGAAAAATCAAGGAGAACAGACCACTCTTCCTCTCCTGCATAAAATATAGGTATTTTCCACCTCTTGCCCTAGAGAGATACATGCAATATGTATTAAAGCCATATATTGGAGTCTGAAACACTGAGGAGGCAGGAGCACTACAGCTCTACGTTCCTTCCTGAGGAGGTGACTAAAGAAATTGTACAGAGGAGTGCTCTCTGCCACTTGAAGGCCTCTGCCATATGAAGGCACATAACACTGCTCTTAATTCATTCAGGCTTCCACAATAATGCTTATAGAATTTGGTGGGTTTTTTCCAAGCTGTTTGCTCTCTTGACCACAGATTTGGTGTTTGAAGTCCTCCATAGAAATCATAAAAGAGAATGCCTGTTTTACACAAAATATGTATGATTCAGCTGCAAAGTGTCTGTTTTCTTCACCGTGTTGCAGTTAAAATACAATGGATTAGAAAGTTGCTTTTATTCTCAAAATGCCACAGGCAATATGGAAGTGTCATGATCTTTGCTGCAATTCTAAATGCATTTTCTAGAGTATGCCTACAGGARAGGAATAGTATTTTCACACTGTGAACATGGAAGATATATCAGCTGCATCAGAGTGGCTTTCTCTTTCCTACCCAATCCACCTAAATTTAACTGTAGATTTTTTTCCTACCCAGATTCTTTTAAAAATTCTCAAAAAAGGCTAATATTTTAATAACTTTTTTTTGAAAATTTTGAGAGACATGCAGTTATTGCCATTTGTTCAAGTCAGTTTCATTTGAAGGASAGCCCAGGATATTTGTTTGAGATAGTCTCAAATCTCAAATCTCATCAGCATGCAGAGTAAACAACCGCAGGGAAGGAGAGAAGAAGTTGCCAAATTGGCTGGCTTCTGAGTGTGTTTGGAAAGAGGCTAGTGGTTTGTCTCCTACCCAGTGGCAGGGAAGATGGGTTGTTTGGTGAATTCAACTTTCTAAACCACACTGGAGAGGTGATCCAGATCTCTGAAGTCATGCATCGTTAGAGCTTGGCCCCTGCCTGCAAGTTCAGTAGAAGCTGTGGAAAACACAGTCACAATATAATAACAATGCAATATCAAAAACAATATCAGCCAGCTTCGACTGAGAAAATGCTTCTACACATTTGAGCTGGCTGTCATGTAAACACTATCTCACTAGTGAGTCAGTGTGCACAGCTTAGCTATTTCACTTAAAAGGGTCCCAAGGCCTGGCATGTTTATTTAGCCCAGAGCCTTGCTAATAGGGTAGCAAGAGGACAAATGCTGGACTTGAGGGTACTGCCTGAAGAAGAGAAGGGTAATGCAAAGAAAAGAGGGCAAGATATACATGAGAAAGGGATGTGTAACACTGGGTCAGCACAGCTGAGCAGCAGCATGGATGGCATACTCAGGATGCATCAGCAACCTCAACTCTTGCTCTTCTTCACTTATGTGTAGAAGGCACTGTTGTGTAGGACTGGCTTGTGTTCTTCCTGTTTGTGACCATGATGAGTATCTGGTGTTCTGAGGTATGAGGGACAACTGTGTCTGTTTAGGAGTACCTGAAGAATGTTCCCAAGCAGTGGCACACAGTCATGTGCCTGTTAGCCTTGTCCCTGGCAAGCACTGCACCCATGACAGCTTGTGAGTTACAAGTCTCCTAAGAAACTCCCAGCATGGCTGAAGAGTTAGAAACCCAAAAAAATAAACAGAGTTGAAAACTGGATGCCTAACTTCATGCRTGCTACGTGGGACTGTGTTTCAGGAAAATTCGGTGTCAGCCAATTGAAGAAATTAGCTGAGCAGCCAGAATCTCCTCTCCCCAAATCCGCACTGTGTAGCATAAATAGTATACAGACCAATCGTTGTCTGACTCTTGAAAATATGGGCAAATTTTGCAATTCCCTGGGTTTTCAGGGCTGCAGAGTAAACAGGTTTGTTTTTCTCCATTTGCAGTTCGAACATGTCCCAAACTTTGGGCTCCTGAGAACGGACACATTAATTGTTCAACATCTGATATCTCCTACAAGACAGTGTGTTTTGTGGCCTGCAATGAGGGCTATGAACTAGAAGGAAACCCCAAGTTGACCTGCCAGGGAAACTCACAGTGGGATTCAAAAGAGCCCAAGTGTGTGGGTAGGTATCTGATCACATTATACCTGTTGATGTCTGAGTGTGGCCTTTGCTGTCGTGCTATTACGTGTGAGAAACTATATTATAGTATCTGGTAAGGTAAGGTAAGGTAAGGTAAGAATGAGGATGGCTCTGAGGGTGTTCTAGGAGGTCTTACAAGTTGGGGAGGAGCAAAGGAATTAGTTAATAGAGAGTGTCTCCACATTATGGTTGAAATCCAGCACAAATAGCGGGTAACCAGAAGGTCRATCTCGTCTTCTGGCTTGCTGCATGTTTTAGCAAACAGGGCCTCTGCTGCAGATTATATATGAACATCAGAGGGTTGAGTCTCTTGAAGGCAGAAGTGATCTCCATCCAAAGACTAATGTGTGTTAGCAAGGCACTGAGTGTGGAGTGGAGCTACGGCTTTGTCGCTTTCACTGAGCTCCCAGCAAGAGCTGAGAGTTGGGAGGCATTAGGCACTAACCACCCCACGTAGATTTCAGAGTTTACACTTTCTGTGCAGCAATAAGCAAGCATATATGGCAATTTATGACTCTGTTATGTGAAGAAACAAAGGTCTGAAGACTTCAGGACTATCTGACATTTAAATTCACTTAAAACGGGGGAAGAAATACAGGTAAAAACTCTCTGGAGGTCCTGCTGCAAGAAGAAATGATAAGCCTAAAGCCCAGCATTTAATGGTGATGACAAAAAGCAGGGTGTCGTGCATGTCAGCAACATCCAGTAATGTCACTCCTTTCCAGTAAATTTGATGTCAGTAGGTCACTTTGTACTGTTTAACCTCAATATTAAAAATGAAGATTTTACATGAGACAAGAATAAATTTGTAACTGAAGATATATGCTGTAAAAAATGATGAAAATAATCCACAAGTATTAATTTATCAGAACAGTTCATTAAGAGATCCTAATCTTTCTTCAACTGAAGACAGTGAAAAAAACTTCAATTAACTTCAAAAGGAAAGGGACCCTGAAGTCCCACTAGAAGATTATAATTGGAAGATTTACTGTAATAATCAGTTGAATTCATCCACCCKAGCTTAACATTTTGATGATTAAAATCCAGCTTCATTCTATATCAAAAGATTTCTTCATACCCTGCAGTGTTGCTTCCATTCCTAGATTACCCATGGCAATGTCTTAGTTTCGCTGAATCTGAACATCCAGTACAAAAGTTAGCATTGGTTGTTCCCAGGATTAAAAGTATATAGTGGAAAAATCTGTGCTGTTTCTGGTCATGACGGCTGTCCAGAACAAGCTTGCCTAAATTCCTGGTCTTTGTAAATGTGTGGAGTTTCATTGATGGAAGAATGCAAACCAGAAAATGCCCCCTACCATGCCCCCTTCCCCATAAATAAAAGTATCCTCTGTACTCATTTTCACAATGTTTATTATTGTCATGGTACTCGTTTATTTCTAGACTTAACAGTTTCTCCCATTTATTTCTAAACTGAACAGTTTCTAGCTATTTATCATCTGCTAGATGAAAGAAAGCAGAAATCCTTCCATATGTAGGTATCTGTAACTGATGATTTATCCATTTCCTACTCTTCTGTCAGARAAATGAAGTGGGTGTGGGTTCAGTCTACCACCTTGAGATTGATGTTCTGAGTGTTAGAGTACTCTCCGAGCTTTTCTTCTAAACTCTTTTGAGTTTGAATGGACATCAGAGTAAGGTTTACCATTTTTAAAGGCTATATCACTGACACCCTGCTACAACCATCTATAACTGTAGCTGACAGCATATCATAACATAGTCTGTATTGTCTGCATCTCTTCCACAAGGTTTGTTGTCATATGCATCTTTTTACAGGGAGGATGGAAGTTAATTAGAGTTTATCTATCTATTACATGTGTCTTAATATTTTTCAGTGGAAGATGGTATTTACAGTGACTTACTTTTGAGTAGGTTACATTATGTAGTAGGCTGTACTTGAAAACAATGTATCTTTTAAAAAAGAGGTTTTCATCTGTCCAACTTGGAAATTTTTTTTTATTTGTTTCTTTCTTCATCATATTTCACCAGTGAGAGCTTAATAGCCCAACATTTTAAATTACAGAATTTCATGAATTATTGCTCCCCTTACTTTGTTCAAGGATTAGTAAGGAAGAGTAAGTGTGCAGATGGCATCAAGGATATTGATGCCATCTAGTGTTGAAAGAATTCATGTTCCACATTTCTAAATGTGGTTGGCCAGCTACTTCCCAAAACTTCTGTGGTCATTAAGGAGTTGGGTGAAAGAGGGATGATTTGCTTGGCTGTCTTTTCTTTAATTATTACATTGAAATTAATCTTGATGCTGATGAATTATAATATTCTACTGTAGTTTGTCACAGGCAGCTGCAGATTAAAGCAGGTTCCTGTGTTTTCTTGGAAGTATCTTTTTCTTCTGTCTCTATTACTAGGGCTTTATCGACTTCTTTACCCCCTTCTGTAATGAGAACAGATTAAAGAACCAAACAGCACCATTACAGTTTAGTTCTGGTAAAGGTCAGTCCTACTGAGAAGAGGTTTTCTAGGACTGGAGCTATCAAAGGTTGTCCTGAATGTTTGCTACATGATGCAGGATGTGCTATACTAGGATTTTGCTAGCTGATTTGGATGCATCCCAGCCAGGAGGACTATCACTATTTCCCTACAACACCAWTTTTTTTAAGCTGTACTCTTAACAGCTTCCACATCCATTCCTGTAACTTTTCTCTGACTGATACATATCTTAATGCCTTAAGCTTTCTTGTAGAATAATCTTTCAACTATTCATTGTTTTTTTTTTTCAACCATCTGACAGTTTCATTCCTGTGGTGAACAACCCAGAGTTATTTTTTGTTTCTGGGTTTTTTTTCTTTCTTTTTTTTTTTTTTTTGATGGATTGGTTTAACATTTCATTGGCAATATTGACTCTGCCTGAAGTGAGTAAATGTGTTAACACTTAGGGTTTTTGCAGCCTGTTGAAAGGAATTGCAGTTTTTAATTGTTTAGCCTGTAAACATTTTTTCAGTATTGAGAATGTAAAGGGCAGGAAATACTCAACATGATTAAACTCTTCAGATTTTGTTTCATGTAGAGGAGCCAGCTTTCAGTGGCTTGCTGCATATTTTTGTAGAGGAAAGATGAGAAGAAAGAGATATAAAGTGTTCTGAAAGTGATTCACTTCTGTGTCATTAAACCATTGCTAAGGAGTGAACAGAGGTCTGCTGTGTCACTGGATTGAGTTGTTCTTTGTATGTCCCTCATGCTAAGATCTGTCTTCTTCACAAATTGGCTAAAGAAAAGAGTTCTTCTCAGCTATGACTAAGGGTAGAGCAGCCCCACAGAGAGGGACCTGGGTGTCATGGTGGACGACAAGTTGACCATGAGGCAGCAGTGTGCCCTGGTGGCCAAGAAGGCCAACGGGATCCTGGGGTGCATTAAGAAAAGCGTCTCCAGCAGGTCGAGGGAAGTGATCATCCCCCTCTACTCAGCCCTGGTGAGGCCACATCTGGAGACTGTGTCCAGTTCTGGGCTCCCCAGTACAGGAGGGATGTGGAGCTGCTGGAGAGAGTCCAGCGCAGAGCTGCGAGGATGATCAGGGGCCTGGAACATCTGCCCTATGAGCAAAGGCTGAGAGAGCTGGGTCTGTTCAGCCTGGAGAAGAGAAGGCTGAGGGGGGACCTGATCAGTGTGTATAAACACCTCAAGGGAGGCAGTGAGGAGGAGGGGGCGGCCTCTTTTCAGTGGTGGACGGTGATAGGACTAGAGGAAATGGCTTCAAACTGAAGCATCGGAAGTTCCACAGGAACTTAAGGAAGCATTTCTTCACTGTGMGGGTGACAAAGCACTGGAACAGGCTGCCCAGAGAGGTTGTGGAGTCTCCTTSTTTGGAGATCTTTAAAACCCGCTTGGATGCAGCCCTGTGCCACGTGCTCTAGGTGACCCTGCGTGAGCAGGGGGGTTGGACTCGATGACCTCTGAGGTCCCTTCCAACCTTCGGCATTCTRTGATTCTATGATTTTTCTTCCATATTTGCTTATTACCTATTGTAAGACACATTGCTTAATGTGCACTAATTGCACTTGATGACCCTTTTTTCGCTGCTTGTTAGTGTTTCCATGTTTGCAATAATTAAAAAAAAWATTTCTTACATTGCATAGTAAAAACAGCAGCTCAAAAGTAGAACAAAGTTTTGAACCCATTTACCTACATTAAATTTGGGGGAAGCTCACGCTTTGATGTAACTATCCTTCAGAATTTGTAATGAATCCTAATAATGTTATATTTTAGAACTTTGATTTTAATATTATAAGCAACTAATACCCCAAAGTCACAGCCAAGACTAATTTCATTCAGGGTGAAGTGAGGAGGCAAATTCAGATGCCATTTCCCTCATCTCAGGTGAGCTCCTAGCAGGACTTTGTTGTCCTTCTCTCATCAGCATTTCATGAGATAATGCAAAAGCTGTAGAAGATAACAATTACAAGACTACTACTGTACAAGGCTATTATCTCCTGCTRTAAAGATCTGGTTGACACAGAAGGCAAGAGGATGAGCTACAAAGTGGTGAAGGTGAAGCTCTGAGGAAAAAAAGGAAAAGAAAGAGATGGGGCAGAATACATGAAAGAAAAAAAAAAGAGCTACTGTTGCAGTGAAAATCATAAGAAAGCAAGTGTAAGATACTGGGATACTGGGTGCTATCAGAACAAAGAATGAGAAGAGTTTTTAGCATTTTGAAGCACTTCCAGAGCATGCGGACTCAGTAAAAAGTGTGTGTATTTTGTGATCCTGATGCATTGCTGTGTGACCATATTTGCAGATCGGTTTAAACATACAGTTTTGTGTATGTCAGTTGATAACACAATACTAGTTTCTTATAGAAATGCRTTGCCCCACCTTTGAGAAGCCTGCGGATATAAGAGTGCACCCTCCCAGCTGTGGGCTGGAGCCAGCTGTCCCTGGGACCGTGTGCCAGCTGAGCTGTCCCCGAGGATTCATCATGTCTGGAGCCGGAGAAGAGCTAAGGTGCATTTCATTTGGGAGATGGAGTGCAAACATCCAGGAGGCTCTATGTAAAGGTAGAGAACAGCACACAATCATTTCTATGTACACGTATGTGCAGGACTGAATGGAAGGACAAGTTACTTGTAGTTTGCAATAAATATGTGGGGCTCAAAGGTTTGCTTGAGAGCACTCTTGCAGTGTTTATCATGAGCTGTCTCTTCTAGCATCCATCTCATACCTCTCTGTTTGGAAAGCTGCCTGTTTAAAGGCAGATAAATGGGCAATTTCAGAATAAAAAGCTTAAAAGTGGTCAAAGTGGAAACCAGGCTCCTATTAACGTAACAATAATAATACTGTTATTGGTTTATCATTGCTTTGTGCAGTCTAATCTGTAAATGCTGTGTAAACCCTGGCTGGTTAGATACCACAGAGGCATGTTTCCCTTCAGCTGACTCAAGTTGACTATGGCTGTTTACCTGCCCTGAGTAACAGTGCACAAGAGTTCAGGCCAAAATTGACTGTCAAGACTGCAGCGCAGACAGACAGAAAGTGCGTTTCTGTTATGCAGTTCTGTCGTGTTTGCCCACCTCATTTAGAAATGTGGAGTTATTTGTGCTTTTGCATGCATACATGCCAGCTGGGAAGGAGTCTGCCTTTGGATTGGGGGAGAAAACAAATAACCTGGGTTATGTCTGAGAGCTGCTGCTCACCTCCTCCTGAACCCTTGCGCCAGTGGAAATGATGCTTCCACATAAAATAAGGGCTCTCACAGACTGTATGAAGAACAGTACAGAAAGAAGTTAGGACAGTCATCATGTCAAATCAGTACAGAGAGATTTTATCCCTCCMTTTAAAAACACAATTCCCCTCAGAGTGATGTACAACATTATTGTTATGTGTCTTTTGTGCAAACCTGTGCCAAACCACAGTTTTTAATATTTGATGGGAYCCCAGCACAAGGCTACTGACTGAAGTTTTTGGATTGAGATAAAGCAGCATGGCTTGAGATCGAGGTTTTAGATATTACCACTGAATAAAACCCTAAAATAAGAGGCACAAAGAATCTCTGAAAACTATGCTTCCCTAGGAAAGATGAGAGCAGTTGCGTTTCARTTGCTTTCAATCTTGATATTGTCTTGCTTTATTTTGGTGCCAAAATATTTGGCCAGTTCAAAATAGCCATTTTCTTTATGTCTAATCTATTAGGGTTTTTTTTTTTTTTTTTTCCAGAATTCACTTTTAAATGGAATTTGCCCCAGCCTGAAGGCTGTGGTCAAGGCAGCATGAATCATAACTGGTAGTTACTTAAGAGAGTGCAGTTCTAATAAAGTTTTCATCAGAATGAGTTCAGAGGAAGGCAAAACCACTTGTATTTATTGTTTAGTGCTCTTAATTATGGGATTTTAATTGCCTGAGTTATGTCTTTGCTGGAACTATTTAGCAATAACAATATAAGCAGTATCAGTTCTGAGTTGTTCTAAAACCTCCTGGGCATGTATGAGTTCAGAGCTGAACATGGATGTCCTTGACTCATGAGCCTAAAGCTCATTTATCAAACAACCCTGCAGCAATAAAATAACCTGACCACAAATGTTTTGAGAGGCCCTTTGCCAGGGAAATAATGAAGTGTTTCAAGTTTGTCAGAGAAACTTCAGGCATAAATTTGGCTGGCAATGTTCCCCGTATTGAACCAGCAATCCTTTAAAACCATCCAGCCTTGTCACATATGTGGCTAGAAGATCCCACTTGCCATGTGTATACCTTGCAGCAGAAGTAACACTGCCAGGAACTGGTGCCAGAAATGTTGTTGCTGTTTCTTTTCAAGTCAGTCCTACACCTGAAAGAAAAGCAGTGCCCTTACTCAGGAGACTTTACTACATATATATATATATGTGAATATAAGAAAATAGGCAAGACTTAAAAGACACAGAGGCAAGAAATATGTAAAAATAGTAATAAGTAAGTCCAGAAAGCACAAAAAAAGAGTGTTTTCAACAACTGTTAAAAAATTCTTTTAAAGTTAAAACAAGTCAAAAAGTGTTTTAACTATTATAGAGGTTTTATTGCCATAACACCACATAAAAAGCTAGTTTGTCTTCTTCTGGGTCAGATATCGAAGCTCCTCAGATCCACTGTCCAGAAAATATTGAAACTAAGACTCTGAAACATCAAGATTCTGCTAATATCAGCTGGCAGATCCCAACCGCTGAAGATAACTCTGGAGATGAGGCAAGTTGAAATCTGTACATTGAACGGATGCATTCTTTCACTAGCATTCTTTTGCTAGTTATTTAAAATTAATTTTCTGAACTACTAGAATTTATTCTTCTGATGAGCAGAAGTGAAAGAAAGATCTAAAAACTTTGTATCTTGTGAAGTCAGCATTGCATTTTTTATCAGTTAAGGTTACCCAGTCATAGGACACTGCATGGTGTAAAGTGGAGAGAATCTCATGTGCTTAATTTATGTGGTCAAAAGAAAGAATGTGCCCTTGTTTATAAAATGGAGACAACCACTTTAAAAATGAGCTCTTAGAATGTGAAGGAGTTTAATAAACTCCTCTCATAAGGAAGTAAACCAGTTCATTAATCTAAAAGGCTAAGAGGAGCATGCTGTGATAAGTAAAAACTTGATTCAGCTATCTGAGTGGGAGAGATAAATCCCATTTTCTTATTCCATGCAAGACTCAGACATGGCCTTTGACTACAGTGGGTGTCAGAGGTCTGGGATCGGAGGAATAAGCAGAATTTGCTCCAGAGCTATTTCAAGAAAAGTAGCATTCCCTGCAGCTCAGACACGATCGAATTACAGCAACTAAACGTGTTATCATGATTCAGCAGAGGAACAGTGACTGTGTGCTTGTTGTTAATCTGCTGCAAACACAGGAGTTTTTTGCTCTTGGAAGCTGTGAGCTGTCCCACTAAAGGGGTTTAAGTTAACACATTAAAGGGGTTTAAGTTAACACATTTTTTGTTACAGTGCAGCCATAGTCAGCTACTGTAGCTCTGCTGACACAGGATCATTCGCTAAGCTCTAGAAACGAAGTACCTAAGCTCTGTCTTTGCTGGTTTGCCAAAGCCATGGTTCTAAGTTGAACTGCTTTTCTCACATGGAGCGCATTCTTCTAAAGAGAGGTGGTTTTGCACGGTTCAAACCCATATGAAGGAGCTGTGGAGAGGGAGAATGTGTCATGTATTCCAAATAAAAGGCTCCTTTTTCCTGACAGAGTCATTTGAAGCCTCTGAAATGTCCTGGGCCCACACAGTTTAGTTCAACGTATTGAGACAGACAGGAGTGAGTCTCAGGCTACCCTAATGCACAAGCCTGAGAAGTGCAGACTTGAAACTGCACAAGGTCTAACTCCTGAGCCAGCAAATGCTGTGAAGAAGGCAGCGTTGGGAAGGGGAGCAAGGCAACCCTCTGMAGAGTCTGCCCTTGTCACATAAAGGGCTATTTGCATTCCAGTAGGAACAACCTTAACATTAAACAAGACTGTTTAGAGTCCGTTTCTTGAAATATATGAATGTTGTGATTTCTAACTAGTTTTTTTCTTTAAAAATAACAATTGTCTTCCTATAAAAGGTGTCAGTTCATGTTACCCCAGCTTTCATACCACCGTATCTTCTCCCGATCGGCGAAGTCGCTATTACTTACACAGCAACTGATAAGTCAGGCAACGAGGCAAGCTGCACATTCAGTGTCAAGGTTGTTGGTAAGTTAAATATCTGCTGCTAAAAATCAGTGGGAAGGAGTCTGTCGTGGAGGAAATCCCATTTTGTGCAGAAAAAGGCTATGAATTTGAATATGAAAGTAGACTTTGTGTTGGTGTATCTAAGCCCRGGATCTAAGCGTCTAATCTAAGCCTCTTCTTAAATGCTTTACTGATACTGGTTCACAATTTGCTCTTCTTGGGTCACAGTTTGCATAGGGGTAGCACCACTGCTGCCAGATGCTCTGTTTAAGTTGTGTTTTGTTGTGTTTGTCATTCTGAATCTCAAGATTGTTCCTCCTAATGGTAAACTAATGCCGTGTTATGTTGTAAGTTAATTTTTATTATGTTCACCATACATGTATTTTCTTTCTCTTTCTTGAAAAGATGCCATACAAAGAACTTTAAAAGCTCATGCCTATTTTTGATGCAAATCATTGTTCAAATATTTGTATCAGAAGTTCTTGTCACTCAGCAGTCCTGTGAGTAAAGATGGGCTCTGAAGAATGCAAAAACAGAATATGGAAACCTTACAGGGTGCAAAATTTGCCCTGTCTTATTTCCATTCCTTTCCCTCAGCATCTGCCAGTTCAACCAGTTTACTTAGAAGTGTGCATCTAACTTTACTATATTTGTGTGAACTTGGACTAYGGTTTAAGTTACTTTTCCTGATCATATATCTTACCTGGACTACTTTTGTGCCATCCCTTCCAATCCTATAGATGCAGAACCCCCTGTAATTGACAGATGCAGATCACCACCATCTGTGCAGACATTGGAGAACACGTACCCAGCCACATGGGAAGAGCCTCAGTTTTCTGACAATTCAGGTGAGATAATGCACTCCGAAGCATGGACACAACAGTGGGAGGCTGGGGAGCTCCAGCCTGCTTCCCCATGATGCCTTGACATTTAGGATTTCTTTTCTTTTTCATTTATTTATTTCTCGGAACACACTGTGTGTAAGACATGCTGACATTTCCTTCTCCGCTTGCCAAGCTGCAGCATAGACATTCCTGCTTGATTCAGTGTTCAGTGTCAGCAGAAGAGTTGCTGTGAGCTAGGCCAGGGAAAAAGAAAAAAAAAAAAACCTTATTATTGATGCTTTAGGCTTTCTTTCAACTCTTCTAGGTGCTGTACTGACTATTACTAGAAGTCATGAACCCGGAGATCTCTTTCCCAAAGGAGAGACAATAGTTCAATACATAGCTGTGGACCCTTCTGGCAATAATAGGACATGTGAGATCCACATTGTCATCAAAGGTCTGTTGCGCTGTTTTTACCCTGTTTTTTTTACCGTTTTTTTTTTCCCCTTTTGCTGGTGCATAACACATCACATATAAGCTGTAGTGTAACATTTGATATTCTCAAAGCAGCAAGAGAGTGTAGCAGTGTTATAATTGAATATGCTAAAGGATACTGCCCTACTCTACTTTTTTGTTCAGACTACACTTTTTCATTCAGTTATTCCCATTTTTATTTGGGAGTAATTTGAAGGCAGCGAGAATATATATAGGATTTTTTTTAATCAGACAAGTATGATTGCCAGATTAACAGTACAGAAGTGAATTAGGTCCTATAAATTCAAATAAGTGTAGAAGTACTAAAGTTACTATTAACTAAGCAATAAAAACTTGGATAATAGCCATTGGTTTTCAGTGACAAATACAGTATAAAATGGATTAAGAGATGTTCCTGAAGTCTCACAMCAAATCTGTAGAATCTGTAGTCAGAAAGGAGAATTTTCATGGAAAGACTTTTGTAATTTGCAGGCATACCTGCAAATACCTTAGTAGGTATTATAACACTTTTTATATTTTAGAATCTATCTGTACTAATAAACTCAGGTATTTGTATTAATGGCATAGACATTTCTTTCCTCCTATTATCAAGTCCACTTTTTTCTTTAAGCACGAAACAGCTATTTGCAGAAGAGCTAAGAATGAAAATTCCACTTTAATTCTGCCCTCTAGTGCTTATGTTGGATATCTCTGTGAAAAAATCTGCTAGTGTATAGAAAATTTTAAATATATAAGTTTATATAAGTTTACAAAAAAGTAACTTGCCTATGACAGTCCTAATTTTTTATCTGCTTTTGTGAAACATGACAATAAAAAGACAGTTCTTAAAATTGACGTTATTTCAAATCCTAGACTGCCTCACTTTTTTTTTTCTGATTTCAGTGCTTGGGTCATAATTTTTTTAAATATTCAAATTCTTCACARTAGTCCCATAAAAATACGTTCTTACCAAGTCTTTACAATACTAAGATGCTTCTGTCTTATTAGGTACCCAGATCAAATCCGTATGTTGTTGTAACAGTGTGGAATCAATAATGCTTACTTTTAGAATTCAGTATGTAATACAGTTTAATTAATTTCATTTAATTTCATGAATACTTTTCATTCATGAAAGTTTGCAGAAAAGATAAAATTTTGTGCTTTGTATTATTTTACTTAAWTTTTTTATTTAATACTTAAATTACTTAAATTTTACTTACTAAAATTAGTGCACTTTTAAAAAGTACAGAAAAGGTTAAGTCTTGCGTTTTCTTTTTTTTTTTAAAAAGAAAATATTTTCATATATATCAAAAACTGAATCTTTGTTTCTTGATTTCAAATTCTGGTTTCAAAGTTCAAAAAGAATTTGACACTACCCTAGTTCTGTTTTTATGGAAATTGCAAGAATTAGTTGCAGAGACTTGCAGCAGAAGTAGAATCAGATTRATAACTGGTGCTTTTTGAAATCTTATCTCCAAGCTTCCTGTGCATATACTTGCTTTGYTGCCATCATCCATGTATAAAATACATGTATTTTGCACAGGTTCCCCTTGTGAAATCTCCTTTGAGCCCATGAATGGTGATTTTTCCTGCACATCAGATGAAGTGGGTGTTAACTGCACATTACGCTGTGCAGAGGGTTATAGCTTTTCAGAAGGATCAAGTGAAAACTACTATTGTGCTTATGAGGACGGTGTCTGGAAGCCACCTTATTCTCCAGAGTGGCCTGACTGCTCTTGTAAGTCATATTATTTTTAGACCTTTTTGGGAAATTGCCTAAACAGAAAGTAAATTAAAGTATTTTAGAAATTAGGATGATTGTTTATTGATAATAAATCTTCTATATCTAAATTGTTAGAGATGTTGCAAAAGAATACTGAGAAGTTCCTAAATGCATTATTTCAGAAGCTGTCTAAAATATAAAAAYTGCAGTAAATTTGAATCTTGGAATTTACAAGACAGCAAAGAGGCCAAAGTTATCAGAGTTTGCCTGTTGTTAGTATTGGAAAATGTTACCATTGTCTCTTGACAACACTAGCAATGCTATTAAAACAGGAATTTCAACAGCTCTGGCAGACTGTCGATACAAATGCTRTAATTACCTACCTGCTTACTACCCAGTCAGAAGCTCTATATATTTTCTTATTTGCAGTAAGCATATGTACAATTTCAGCTATGTACTTTCTCAGCTGTGGTGCCATTTTAAATTCTGGTGTGAATTTGCTTCTGCTTCAGTTGAAGGCAATCTTGACAACYGTGACCAATTTTTTTCTACATTTTTCAGTAAATCGTTTTGCAAACCATGGTTTCAAATCCTTTGAAATGCTCTACAAAGCAACACGATGTGATGACAACAGTCTTCTTAATAGCTTTGCTGATGCATTCCAGAGTGCACTTGGTAAAATGGTAGGTTAGTAAATAATCCTTCCTTTTAGTATTTCCCTCAGTCCAAGATGTACCCAATTGTTACTTTCCCAAGCTATCTATTTGCTTAGGAGGAGATTAGCACAGAAACTTGAAACCTGAAGAAGTGATTAAAACAGAATCCAGTTAGCTGACTTGGAATGGGCTGCAAGTAGCCTGGGTACCTTACTTAGAGATTTTCAGTAGGCTACCACAGATACTTGTGTATGCTTGAAAWATCCATTCATTTGACCCTTAAACTCAGTCTTACTTTCAAAAGTTGGATATGGTGCCAAAACRTATTTTTTATAGAATATTTATGGCATAGCTACATAATTAAATATGTATATATGAAAATATAGGCATTCAAGATTTGACATCTAAGTCCAGGCACTTAAATCTAGTGGCGGTGATTTAAATAACTTGTTCAGTGTTCTCAGATTTCTCAAGTTTCTGTTATGAAAAAGAGCTGTCTGGCCTCCAATGTGAAGGGGTAGCCTGTTCCCTTTCTGCAGCATCTTTYCTCAGTACCAGTCTTCCTTCCTAACCCACGATTATATCCTTAGCTGCAGAGCAGAAACAGAAGGATTTAAAAGGGTAGGCTGAGGGGTTGACAGCCCAGGCCTAGTCTGATAGCATTGCTCCAGATGAGAGCAATGGACTGGGACTGTTTCTGGAGGACAAAAGGAACATTCATGTGCTAAAAGTTCCACCATTAGCTTAACAGCATTGTTAACCCATAGAGCTAATGGACAGTGTGCTGCAGCTTTGGCATCCACGCAGGTGACAAAAACACTACTCAAGTGGTCCACAGCCTACATAACCCTTCCAGGCAGTCTGTGGTACTAGGGCCCAAACCTAGTCACTCTTTTATTGCTTCGGGTTTAGTGTCTTCAAGTAGGAAAATCTTGGTTTTATTTCCCTTGTCCAGTGCTAAGAGCACTGGAACCAGAAAGCAAGATATAAAGCAAAGTACTTGATGATCAGCCCAAACAGTTACATCAAAATGCGAGAGTTTGGAAAAAAAGAGTCATGAAGATTGTTTTGAATATACTAAGTCCTGCTCCTAAGAATCTGGCATTCTAGCAAAGATTTGAAGAGAGGGGAATTGGCAGAAGTCACCTCTCTAATGAAAGACTKATATGGAGAAAGCAAAGAAATCCAGAAACACCTCTTAGAGCCCATCCTGCTTCAAATATTTCTGGAAAAGGAAATGTGGATTTGATCAACAACAGCAAAAAATCATTCATGTTTTCATCTCTTCTTATAGAGCCTTCATTGCTTTAGTGGAGAAAATAAATCATAAGTACCAAGMAGGTTTTCCTTAGACTTTTTTATTCAGTGTTTCCCAAGCTTATTTGGCCAGAGAAGGGAATGATTCAGCTAGGGGAAGGGAAGCTGGGAGACAAGGGGGCATCACAGGCAGCAGGACAGAGGCCTCCTCAGACAGGGCCCTCTTCCACAGCAACCAAGCAAGGCAGAAACAGAGATCATGATAGTAAGTTTACCAGTCAATTCACTGGGTTGAGATAGGTCCAAAGTCGAGCTGACAAGTCACTGTGCAGGTCAGGGTCTTGATCCATGGGGTCTGTAGCCAGGTACTAGCATGGGTGTAGTTGAACTAGAGATTCATACTCCTGCAGCATTGCTCAGGTAGTAAACYAAGTCCTTGACCTGAGCTTAAATGGGCCCATTGGCAGTGGTTGTAAAGGAGGCTTAACGTGAGGCCACTGGGGGTCTTGAGTGTCCTCAGGTAATGCCCTAGTCCAGGCAAGTGACTTTGGAAATTAGCAATGAAAAGAAGAAGACATGCCCAGCCTAAGTTACTGCAACTTTCCTCTATGTGGGCTCTGTCACTAAGAGAGTCACACTTATATCCAATACCTTGTCCACGTGGTTGGAAATACCTCGTTCTTGTAGCCTGTTTTGGAGGACTTCATCTATGTTTTTACAAGYAATTCTGTGTTACAGTCTTCTTGGCATTGGTGTTGTGTGCAACTGCTGTTACCCCAAACTAGGAAACAAGCAACAGGAAGTTAAATAAATCATATAGAGTTTTCCAGAAATGCTCCGGTAGAGCCACCACCACCACGCAGTTTGATCATCAGCAGATTGTACCCTGTTCAAAATACYGTCCTTCTCCTCAGATGACTTCTCCTGTTTCCTGAGGTCTCTTGAAGGAATGCATGAGTTCCCTCCCGAGGAGTAGGGAGGAGGTGAMTACAAAGAAATAAGTAAGGTTTGAAAGCTAGAAATATCCCCACAGTGTTGCTGCAACCCCTGACAGAATTACAGGTTGCACGCCTGGAAAAGAAATGGTATAGAGGTTAAGTGAACAGACCTCTTTTCTTTGCATGAATGTTAATAGTGTGCAGAAGAGCTTATATGCCTACAAGTCTCCCTGTTCTTTCCTGGTTGCATCAATAGAATTAACTGTGCCTGAGGACTTTGTCAAAATGGTAACAGTCATCAGAGGAGAAATTTAGTGTCGAAGAAGGGCCAGAGTCRTGCTTTACATCATAATAAGAAGGTTTTTTCAGTCAGGGATAGCTATGTGGTTTTGGTGTGCTTTTTTAATGGATTTTTTTGTTTTTGTTTTTCTGTTTGAAGGTCCCATCGTTCTGTAATGATGTTGATGATATTGACTGCAGATTGGAAGAGCAGRCACATAAACATTGCTTAGAATATAATTACGATTATGAAAACGGATTTGCCATTGGTAATTACTGATTGCACAGATTGTTGACCATCCAGGCATAATGTGCTTAGATCCTTTTGTTCTGAAATACTGCACTGTGCTGTGTTGAATAYTTAAATAAAATAATTATAGAACTCTTAATATACTAAACAATTAGTGAGTTTTATAACAGTGTTACAAAATCATTTATTATCTAATTTTAGTACTGTCTCCTATATAGTACCAATGTAAAGGAAAAGTTTACTGACATGTC